CAAAAAAAAAAAAAAAAAAAAAAATTTACTTGTTTTGTTTTGTTTTGTTTTTTTAGTCAGTCTCAGTCTGCCACCCAGGCTAGAGTGCAGTGGCATACTCATGGCCACCACAGCCTCGACCTGCCACCACAGCCTTGACCTGCTGGGCTCAGGTGATCCTTCTGCTTCAGCCTTCCAAGTAGCTGGACCACAGACGTGTGCCACCATACTTGGCTAGTTTTTTGGTTTATTGTAGAGACGAGGTCTCGCCATGTTGCTCAGGCTGATCTCGAACCCATGAGCTCAGGCAATCCTCTCGCCTCTACCTCCTAAAGTGCTGGCATTACAGGCTTGAGCCACCCATGCCTGACTCACTTTTTTTTTTTTAACTGGAGACTGTATAGTAGGAATGTTTTCATGAGTACAGATATACTCATTCTGAATCTTCATTTCAAACAGCATCACATTATATTGTTAGAAAGATTTATAGTCCATTATTATTGCTTGTTGAATTCTAGAAATTGATCAGACATGGGATTTGTTTTGTGTAGTCACCTTTTTTAAATCATCGGAAGTTAAATATTCAAATGAGCAGTGTGGGAATGGGTAATTATAGGATGAGGCTGAACTGAAAATATATTATCATGAGATAAAATAGAAGCCATGGTAAGTAGTGGAAGTGAACAATAAGCAAACTTGATTTGGAGGGGCAAGGAATTTTGCAAGTGCATATCTTTTTCTACTTTTAATCTCTTTTTGGACTTATTTTACTTTCAACTCAAAAGGTTTTAGTGTGTCTGGGTTTTGGCATGAAAGACGAGACATGCTGTAAAGATCAGAATGTGTTTTCTGTGCTGGGCTCAGTGACTCAGCCTATAATCCCAGCACTTTGGGAGGCCAAGGCAAGTGGATTGCCTGAGCCCGCGGGTTCAAGACCAGCCTGGGCAACTTGACGAGAACTCATCTCTACAATAAATCAAAAATGAGCTGGGCGTGGTAGCGCACACCTGTTGTTCCGGCTACTTGGAAGGCTGAGCTGGAAGGATCCCTGGAGCCCAGCAGATCAACCCTGGGGTAACCATGAGCATGCCACTACACTCTAGCCTGGGCGACGGAGTGAGAGGCTCCAACTCACCAAAAAAAAAAAAAAAAAATGTTTTCTGGCCACTTTGGGAGGCTGAGGCAAGAGGTTTGCTTGAACCCAGGAGTTTGAGACCAGCCTAGGCAACATAATGAGACTTTTTTCCTATAAAAAGTCAAAAAGTAAGCCGGGCATGGTGGCGCACACCTGTTGTTCTAGCTACTGGAGATGGTGGGGCAGAGGATCACCTGAACCCAGGAGGCTGATGTTGTGGTGAGCCATGATCATGCCACTGCACTCCAGCCTGGGTGACAGATTGAGACCCCAACTCAAAAATAATAATAATAAAAACAAAAAAGAATATGTTTTCTGATACTCATGTAAAAAATAGAATAGAAGGCAGGTGCAGTGGCTCATGCCTATAATCCCAACACTTTGGGAGGTAGAGGCAAGAGGATTACCTGATCTCGTCTCTACAGTAAATAAAAAGATCAGGCGGACATGATGGCACATGCCTGTGAAAGGCTGAGCCCAGCAGGTTGAGGCTGCAGTGGCGGTGAGTGTGCTACTGCACTCCAGCATGGGCAACAGAGTGAGACTCCAACTCAAAAAAATGTATATATGATAGAAAGAATTTAAAAGAACCTATA